GAGGAAACCCTCAGAGTGGGGGGGTCTGGGGCTCCCCACTGGTGACAGCACCCAGTGGGCACTTTGGGGTGAGCACCCTGGGGAGGTGACAAGTGTGAAGGGGGGGGAGTTGATCCTGTTGGGTTTTTTGCCCCCCCCCCTTAAATCCCAGCGCTGGGGGTAAAGGGTCTTGGCCGGGTTGGTCCTTCCCTTGGTTGGGCTGGGGTGGTCGGGGGGAAGGAGACACCAAGGAGGGTTGTTGGTCTGGGTGTTGCTGGTTGGTTGGGGGGTTGTTGGTTGGTTGGGGGGTTGTTGGTTGGTTGGGGGGTTGGTTTTAAGCTTGTGCTCGGGAATCCAGCGCTGGGGAGAAGCGACGATCCAGCCTCGGGGTGCAGGTGAGCAGTGTCACCAGGAGGTGACAGGGTGGTGGCAGTGGCCCTGAGGGAAGGGATTTGGCAGCGTGTTCATCCCCAAGTAGCACTTAGTGAAGTTTTGCTCAGTTTTAACCCCCCCCTCAGGCACTTCCCGGGGGCTTTTTCCTTCTCGGTGGGTGGGTGCGGTGGGAGGTCCTCGGGGGGTGACATGGGAGGTGGTGGCACCTGGAGAAAGGGATGGAAAAGCAGCTCTCTGGGAAGGAAAAGCTCCTCAGGGAGAGCAATCCTGGAATGGGAATGGATCCATGAAGCAATGGGAACCAGCTCCATCCAACCCCCGGGGGTGAAGTCGGCGCCGTCCCCGCCGGGCTGGGAATGTGAAGGTCGAAAAAGGGGGAAAAAAAAGCCACCAAAAGCCCCTTTTCTTCCTCAAACCAAGTGGATCCCCACCAGGGCTCTGGTGGGTGGGTGGGCTGTGGAAAAAACACCCCCCCCCCCCAGCCAGGTGTGGGAAGGGGCTGGTGGGAGGGAGGGAGCGGGGAGAGCGGCCCCCTCTCCCGGGGGGGTGACAAGGGACAGAGGTGCCACCAGTCCTTGGGAACACAAGTCGCCTCGGGGGGGTTGGGCTTTGTTCCACCCCCCCCCGGCTTTGGAGAGGCCTCAAGATTCGATCTTTTCCTTCTTTTTGCCTTTTTTCAGGAAAGACGGGGTCCGGAATTTCTTCTTCTTCTTGGAAGGGGATTTGGAAGGGGAACCTTCTGGGGAGACGGGGCTGCTGGTCACCAGCTCCTTCTCCTTGGGGGCCTCGGGGGGGGCGCTGGGGGGGGCACTGGGGTGTGTCCCCCCCTTGTCCAGCCTTTCCTGGGGGGGCG